AGACCTCACATGCACCTCCGTACTGGAACATGGAGATTTACACATGTGGTGACATTCAGCACTACAGCCACTGGTGTTGTGTCTTAAATCCCTAAAGACGACACAGATGGAGGCTACAAGGAGAAACAAATGTGAACAGTGTGATTACTGAGCACCTGATGTGTGACAAAGGGCAGGAAGAGATTAGCAATAATGATGGACACAGAGTGCTGCGTGCCCCTAGTGAGTCCCGGGTGCTGCACCAGAGCCAGCCCAGCGCCATGCTGGAGCCCGGTGTGAGCAGAAGCCTTCTGAGGGTCAGTGCCCGGAGCAGGTGACTGAAGGAGGTCACTGATCAGAAGAGGTAGACAGGTACTCCTTCAGAAACAAAAGATGATTTTGAGAACGAAAGCAGCCTGGGTAATGACAGGGGAGTTCATGCAGGCAGAAGAACAGCATCAAGACTGCAGGTTTACCTGGAACACTTGGAAAAGAGTGCCTGAGCAGACAGAATGCAAAAGGAGGGGACTCGCAGCAGGGCCCAACACCTGTGTAGGAGTGAGAGACCTTCCCTGTACCCACCCAAAAACGTGCTTCAAATCTCTAAACTCAAATCAAACTTTGCTTCACTTTGGAACTTCTAAGCTCACCCTCACACAGCCTTTGCAGGGTGAAACTTCAGTTGACAGTTTAACACATTCCTGGCACCTGCAGATCTCATAATTGAGCAGGGAATACGAGATGAGATCAGCACATGGCTGCGTCCCTTCTGTGAGGCCGAGCGTCCCACACCAGCAAACAGCTCCACTAATGCAAGGTGTGTAATTTAATAAGCCATTAACTCAAACCTGAGGTGAAGTAAATTCAGCCCATTATACATTCCAAAATAGTATTAGAATTCAATTTAAGTGTCACCAAAAGCCTAATCCCCAGAATACAGAGAATGTTAATCAGTGACTTGGAGTTGGTGGTTTGATTTAATTTCCTGCTGAGCTGCGCTGTCGCACGGTTGTGATCCCTGCAGTGAGGATCTCTTGGTGGCAACCCATGGGTCTGAGCACACACAGCCCCAGGGGACTCTCCTGGTGAGCGGTGGGACTGCAGACAGAGCTGTGGGTGCCTCCTGCCTGGAGGTGCCTCAGGCCATGGATGGGCAGCTTGAGCTGCAGGAGGGCACCCAGCCGACAGCCTTGCATTGGAACTGGGTGGGCTTTGAGGTCCCCTCCAACCTAAGCCATCCTGTGGCTCTGTAACACCGCAGCAGGGATCCCAAGCATCCCTGAAAAGCCGGTTTGTTGTTTTTGTAACCACAGGAGTAAAATACAGCCCTGGTAATGCAGACGCTGCCAGAAGGAGCTGCTGGGAGCAGGCAGAGAGCAGGCGGCTTGCACACGGGCAGTGCCACGCTGGTGCCGTGCTGCCCGAAGGATGCACAAAGCGCTGCCTGGTAACACAGCTGGCACGGCACGCTGCCCTCCCCCTGCATTCCTGCACCATAGCACATGGCAGGATTACAGCGGCCATAAAGTGACGGATCCACCGCTTTCAATCCCCCCAAGTCAGACGTAAAGTGCAAATGGTGCATCATTTTCACAAAGAGCCAAAAGCGTAAAACCTGCTTTCCATTTCTGCAGCAGTCGGCCATGTTTTGGACTTTGTTATGTCGCCCCTATAATAACTCCTCCTGATTAGCAACCAAAGCACGTCACAGAGCAGTTTGGGAAATGCATCTCTTCTATAAACGACAACAGATTATTTAAGCAACAGCTAAAAAGCACTCCGACTGCTTTTTCCTTTGCTTGCATTACTGTCAGTCTTCTCGTATATCTCAAGAATGAGCCCAGGATTTTCTTTAAAATGGTGGAGAGCAATACAAAAATAGCGGAGTACTCATCTAAAATAAAGTTATACGTTTGAAATAGTTGGAAATTGTTTTTTAATCACTGCCATTCTTCTTCTGGAATATAATCTGCTGGCCATACGTTTCGCTTTTCTATCCAATTTCTAAGGAAAATGCAGCAAGTGTGTTAATAAATAATTTATAAAAACATTACAAGAGATAAAGCACTCCTGCTAACCCGTTTCCAGCCTCCTCGATACCAGTTCATTTGTAATCCTCTCCTTCCCCCTTTCCTGGAAGACTGGAAGAAGGTTATTGCTGCATTTCTGCACAGCCCCACTCTACTCAACCCGTAGGTGTCAAAGCACATCTTGTTCTGAAGGCATCCAGACTGATAAAAGGGCACAGCCTGATCTGAGTTGCAAGTTCAATTTTATATACTACAGACTTTTGTCACGAAAAACATTTTTCACCCCAAAGAGAGGGCTCACAGGTGCTGCTCCTTCAGTGCTCTGTCCTTCCTCTAATGATGGACAGCTTTGTGCTTAAAGAGGGGAAGGAGCTCACTGAAGACAGCTTGTGATGAGCTCTGCCAGATGGAACTCAATTTTAGCGAAGGCACGGGCCCTATAGAAGTAAAACCTGAAGGAAGAAAAGAAAAAATAGCCTTTGACTTCAACAGATCCTGAGAGTACGTGCAAGTGGAAGCATCTCTGTTGACATCTGCGCTATTTAAAAGGCTGAAGGTGGGCTTCAGTGGATACAGATGCCCTAAAGTATGTCTGCATCCACCTCTTCAAGAAGATGATGTTGGCACAGAGGTGGCCCTTCGGGTGTCCCCAGCCCCACACCCCCTGTCAAACAGGCACTGAGTGCCCAATGCCCACTGCTCTTCTTCAGCAGTGCAGCACCTCCATGTGCCACACACCACACGAGCATCAATGCTTCATCACCGTCATTTCCATCTACCCAAATAAAAAAGAACCATCACTGAGCAACAAGTCTGAAGATTTTTAAGAGATTGCAATATTTCCAATACACGTTTTAAAAGGCCCGACTCTTAAGGCTGTCCCAGGGCAGTGGGAGCTGAGCAGAGGATGCCCTGATCTGCTGGCAGCGCTCTGCCAAGGACAGGACAGGATGGGTCATAACAAACCATGCCAACTGCTGGCATCACTCCTGCCCCACTGCCACACTGCGCAAGAGCAGAGTTGTGAGCGGGCACAGAGCTGCTGCCAGCAGCCATCCACACAGCGGCCCTCCAGGAGCCTGGCATTGGATCCATCTGAGATTCCTGGGGTGCCAATTACCACACACAGAAGGAAACTCTGCATTTGGTATTCAGCTGTGCCAGTGTTTGAAAATAGACTCTCTCTGAGAATCCACATTTTTTCTGTGTTAGTCATTATGGGTACAAACGTTTTTCTTTCCCAGCAACAGAAAATCTGGTGCTGTTTGGAAGGACTGCTCCTAGCTGTGCCCTGCAGCACTGCCCGTGTGCTGAGCCCTTCCAGGAGGTGGAGGGCTGCCACAGAGCTGAGCAGAAGCACTGTGCAGACCTTGGAAAAACATCATCTGTTGTTCGCTCTTCTCTCTCTGGCTGCATAACCTTGAGAGCATGACTGAAGGATGCCCACTTAGCCTGGAAGACGCACTCATGAATCACAGGCTCACGTTCCTCGCACAGTGGAGACACAACGTGTCCTTGTTGCTAAATAAAAACACACTGCATTCACAACCAAACGTCCTGCACAAACAGGCTCACAAGGAACACACTTCCAAGTCCGCCCATCTCAATCGCGATCAATTACCAGAGCACAGAACACGGCCTCAATGTTGAGCGTGGATGAGCCAGACCTCAGGATACAGGCAAGATCCTCTGATACTGCAGTGCAAGTAATTAGATACAGGGGTGCTAATTGTTTGCTGTTCCACCCACAGCCTTCAGCAGGGACAGCTGGGAGAAGCACTGTGCCGCACCGCGCCGTGCAGCTGGGGATGAATTTAGAATATCCTCTGAATTTTCGTGTCACATCATCCATCACCAGCAGACAGACACTAAATAATAAAACAAACAGCTGTCTGCTGCCCAAGGCAAACTGGACTCTAAGTTTAGAGATTTTGTTCAGTTCAGTGTGCTGAACTGTGAACTTTTACTTTTAATGGCTTCTTTAGTCGTGCCTTTGCACAGCTCCCCATCTCACTGCCTGCTCCATCCAACCACAGGTCAGGTCAGGAATCTGCAGGTCGTGAGGAAAAGCTGCTGCTGCTGCAAGAAAGGGCCTTGAGGTGGGTTTGCTGGCTGCGCTCTGCTTTCAGCAATCACACAGCACTGCTTCCCTCCATGGAGGTAAAATACCACTCTGACTGCAGCAGGGGTAAGGATGCACATAAGAGAGGACAGTGATGCTGTGTGCACAGCCCCTTTGGGGACTCCACAGCACAGCCACCATCACAGAGCTGTGGGAGGTCCTTTTATGCAGGCAGCAACAGTTCTGTTTTAACATGGAAGTGTGATTGCAGATCAAGGGGAAAACACAGGGATATTTTCCATTTTGCCTCCGCACCCCCAGTACTTGTAACCGACAGCAGGATCAGTACAGGGAGCTGAGCACTCCTTCAGCTTCAGCCCACCCTGGGCAGAGCGCAGCCAAGGGATCCCTGAACACACCAGCACACCCCAGGCACTGCACACCGCAGAGCTCAGAAGGCTGGAAGAGCTTTGCTGTGCCCACAGCAGCGAAGACAAAAGTCAGTGAGTAACTCAACAGGACTCCTCCACACCAACCATTCTGCCACCCACTCCTGATGGAGCCGTGTGCCGTCAGGTTCACACAGAATTCACACCAGTCCCCAGTGCTGCTTCTGCTTCCTCTCCCCACAACTCTGCACGCATACACAGCAGCTGGCTTCCCGAGTCCTGCTGCACGGCTGGCTCCAAAATGGAAAAACACAACTAAAAACCTGGAAAAGGTCTCACTTCAGCTGACCCTGTTTAGGATACACATAAGCTGGCAGCAGCTCGGTACTTGCTAGAAATTTATCTAGAAAAAGGAGAGACGTACCGCCTTAAGGAAATCCATATCACCTGCAGACAAGAAAATCCCCAAACCATCCAATGCCCAGCCATGCAGCTTCACTTGGAACAATAGCAGGAGGAAGGAATCCAGCATCATCCTACCTGAAGAAGCCAGTAGCACCTTCTGTGAAACGTGGGGATGATGGAGGAATGGACGTAACAGCCGTACAAGCACTAAGGACAGAAACAGAGAAAGCAGAGACAGGATTAGGGAAGGAAATTGTTATTTGGGCTCATGATGAGCAGGTTTACGAGGCAGCACCCAGAACAGGAAGGAGAGACGGCATCTGTTGTCACGCCAGTATTTGCTGCAGTCATTCCAGGGCTTCAGCTCTGCTGATATAACAGAATGGCAGCTTGCATCAAGGCAAAATTTTAGGAGAATACATTTTGAACACTGCTACAGGTTAAAGACCCAACAGACAGTCTTTACACGTTTCTCTAGTTAGTATACAGGTATAAACCCCAGCTGCTGATCCCCAAAATCATTCTCAGCCTTTGTGCCAGTCCTGAGAGCAGTGGTGGAGCTCTCCCAGCTCTCTGCAGTCCCACATTGGACCACATCCCCCTCCAGGCAGAGGAACCACCCAGCACCCGATCTGGGGCAGGGCAGAACGAACAGGGTCTGCCTGCACTGCATCCAAACAACTCAACACCCTTCTTCTCTTTCAATGCGACAACCCAACGCCTCTTGGCTTATCACCCAGCTATGTGAACTGAAAACAGAGGGCATGTAAACCCTGCCCACTGCTTCATGCAGGAAAATAAGAAAATGCATTTTTTTCTTATTCTTTACGTTAAATGAACTTTGCTTGCCCAAAAGGAGTAAGGGTAAAGAATTCTTTCTGTAGCAAAATCAAATTTCCAGTGTGTTAAAATCCTAAAACAGCACTGTCAGGTGGAAGCTGTGCCCATTACAAACCAACCACACTGAATCATTATTAATTTAAAGGATCCCAGTACAGTTCCTGTTCACAAAATAAGTTTATTGCTGAGAAAGCAATATTATTTTCTGACTCCACTGGCTTTTAATATGCGGGGATGGGGACAGGTGTGCACATGATCACATATTCCCCTTTGCCAAAGGTGATTAGTTTTCCTTGAACGTAGCGCTTTATGCATACCAGGATTCTGCAATTACAGAAGGAAAAAAAAGAATCTGAGGGGATTTTGCCCACAGTCCCACACCCTTCAGTAACTGCCCTTCCTTGAGCACCTCCAGGGACGGCGACCCCACTGTGCACCACCACTCTGTCAGACAAGAAATGGCCCCCAGTACCCAGCCTGAACCTCCCGGCACCAGCAGGTGCCCCAGCAGGATGGCATAATGGGGGGAGTGCTGCCCTCAGGTGTGGGTAAAGGCATGAACAAGTTCACCACCTGCAGGGTCAGCTTGAATATTAAGGGTGTTAGGGTCCACCAGCTTCTATCACAGAGCTACTTCCAAAATATGGAGGGCAAAGATTAACAGTGTTTTAAAACAAGTCAAAGGTATATTTCACATGCAAGAAAAAAGAAAAACAGAGGAGGAAAAAAGAGGGGAAAAAAGAATTCAAAGAAAAGCTTAACACCTTAATCCTGCCATTCAGCATGGGAAAAAAGCAGACTGTTTGCTTAAGATAATCCCTGACAGCAATCCTTGGCTCCACTGAAGGTCTGCACCGTGCGGCTGTGCTGACTCAGGGCTGTCTCCCCTGTTGGAAAGCAGTTTGGGAGCTGTGGGGTCACCGAGTCCCAACAGCTTCCCAGCGAGGACCTGGCAAGCAGCACAGCTCTGGGCCTTCCCAACACGTGCATGCAGTGCTGCTGCCTGCCTGCCGTGGAGCCCGAGGCAGAAGTTAAAGGACATCAACCTTAGGAAAAGCTGAAGTGAAACAAGTGACAGATCCCAGAAGGGACAACTGCGTGCAGTGCGGTGGATGAGGAGATCTCCTCACAAGGGTAGTGCCCTGCTCTGTGCATTGCCCAGCCCCTTGGACACCTCCTCCGCTCCAGGCTGCTGCGCATGCTTAATGCTTTTAGTTAAAGGGGTCTTTAAAACGATCTCTTGCTCAAAACAGACAAAAGGGGTTTCATTAGCTGGGTCTTCCCTTTTTTTTTTTTTTTTTTTTTTTTTTTTTTTAATGGGGGAGGTAAAAAAAATGCCAAAGCCTGTGTGTCTGTGGCTACGTTAATGCCGGCTGGGCTCTCAGCCAACACATTAAGTGAAATCGAATTCCTGAAACCAGCTTTAATCAGCAGATTTTTAAGGTTAGAATTACTCTCTCCTCTACAAGGCTTGCCAAGGTTAATTCTGTCCCGAGCATGCTGAATTAATGGCCTGGACAGAGGAGAGCCGTTTTTCCCCCAATTCTCTTTCAAAACTTACAAAATGTCTGGAAGTAAAAATAGAGCATTTCTGAGCAACTGGAAGGGAGTGGGTGATGGGTGATGGGCTCCGTGTTGAAAACAGAGCCCACAGGTTTGTGTCACTCCGCATGTGAGCGCCAGGCACCACAGGACAGCTCTGGGGAGCCACAGCCACCTTCCAGGGAAGGGATGTGCTTGGCCTCACAGATTATATGAGAATCAGAGGTTTAAATCACAGCTTCGCATCCCCCCAACCCTCGGGCAGACTATAAGCAGGATGAAGGCTTTGGCCAAAAACACCATGAGGATGCTTGCTGGGAGGCAACAGCCACGTGAAGGAGCCTACAGAGTAGGGATGAGCTCCACTTCATCTCATACCTTTCTAAAATTGACTGATAATTGAACAAGAAAGGGCTTTTTCTGGACAGAGAGGAATAGCTGGGCAATTAGAACTGCCTGCTCTTCCATTTATATGCAGTTCACGTCTTGCATTATCAAACTCCTGAAAACTGGAGAAAAAAAAAATCAAAGTATTAGTGGATTTTTCATCCTGAGCTCCTTAAAGTGATTGCAGCTTATTTAAAAATAATACAATAATGCTGAGGTGTTCTTCCTTAACAAGAACACCTTGGGAATGGAAGCAGGAGAGCAAGGAATCAAAAATTCAAGATGGGGTTGGTCAGGCTTTGAAATTCCTCTCCCCAGTGAGTTACACTAGTGGATATTTATATAAAAAAAAGTAGATTTTGTTCAGATTTTCACACTGAATTCCCAATTCCCTTAATAAGAAGCTAAATCAATCTTTAGAGAACAAACCAAGTAAGACCCGTGGCTCTAAATTATTAAAATATACTCTAGTCATCTTATGGCACAAGGCATCATTCACCTTGCAGCAGCTCACACACACCGCGTGTGCCCCGTCCGCGTTAGAGGGAACAGATCAGGTCCTCTGCCTGCAGAGGGGAGGCAAGGGGCAGCCCTGGCTTCTTGCACAACGCTGCTGCCCTGGTGCCTCTCCTTTTCCACAGGGAATAACACAGAGCTTGCAGCAGAATCTATTGCTGCCACGGATCAGACCTCCCAGGAAAAACAAATGAGGCTTTAGCTTCATTCTTTGCATTGCAAAGATAAGATAGGGGTCTCCTAAATTAACTGTGGTACCTGAGCCCAATCAAGTTCTGCTCTCGACCTCAGCCTCCACGTTATTTCCTCACACACACCACAGAAAAAGTAGAACAGTAATTTAAGCCACGCATGCTGTACGTCTGAGAAATGCGGATGTAGAAGAAACAAGCTTCCCGTCGCCTTCCACGACTTTAAATACGGGCGTACTCCAAGGGAGCGCTGCCCTGCACAGCAGCAGCACTGAATCTCATGGCCATGCAGAAGTGCTCCGGATCTCAGGCATTTGAGGACAATGCAGTGGAAAGTGTAAAGGACAGCCCAGCACTCCTCCCTGAGAGGTTCATTCTTCCAGCACTGCAACCTGTGTGTCAGAGACAGCACTCGGAACGCAATGGCAAGAACCCTGCCCTGTGATTGACGCTCCCATTCTCTCTCCATATGGACACTGTTGCTATCCCACTCTTTTCCCTGACTCCTCCACATCCCAGCAGATGCTCTGCCCAATCTTCCTGAAAACAGTATCTGAATTCCATGCAAAACGTAAACGCCACGTGCAGAAGTTTGCTGGCTGCTTATGTTAACGTATTTGTTTCACACATAGGAGCCATTTTCCATTTGCATCAGTAACACCCACAACATTCTCCGCCACTTTTCTCTGAAGGGGCAGAGCGTGGTTAGAAGAGCAGGGCTTTGGGCTTTATTCTGTAAGGTGAGCTGCCTATTTGCCACCGAATGAGTAAACGGCAGGGAAAACCCTCAGCCTCAGTGTGTCATCTCTCCTCTCAAACAAATCCGAAGGAAGTGCCCTCTGAGATCAGGTTATCGTGTAGCAGATGGTCTTTCCTTCAGGACACGGATGCTAAAGCCACAGACACGTTCCAAATCCATTTAAACATCAGATTACACTCGCCCCTGTCAGCTGAAGGAGCTGGGAGACAGCAGCAGCTCCAGCCCGCTCCATTAATCAAAATTCAGCGAGAAAAGCCAACATGCCGCTCTAAAATCTCCTGACTCGATGCCAGCACCCCGCACAGGGATCCTAATGCCATCAATCTTCCTTTTTCTCCCCGAGCAGTAAGATGCAGCTGGGGAGGGGGAGAGCAATTACAGAGGCTTGGCCAAAGGAGCAGAGCCAGGAGAAGATTTTTTTTTTGACAACTCTCGAAATGATCCTGAGTTGATGGGTGTCAAAGGGGAAACCGACCTAAGCAGCCCTTGGTGCACATCAGCCCCAGCTCAGCCTTCGCAAACACGGACGTGTAACAGCGGCTGAACCCAGCAGCTTTGCACAGCCATGCAGGAGGGCAGATGGGTGACACCCCGAGGGGTTAATTTTGATCTAAAAGGAAAAAATGTGTCATAACATAGGGAGGCATCCAACGTTTCCTGCTGTGCCATCTCCACCGCAGCAAGTCTTCCACTAAACCACTGCTAAACAGGTTTTCTCACTACTGATCTTAGAGAAACAGACAGCAGTTGAGGTTTTTCCCCCACAACATTTCTACTTTGTGCCACTGCGCAGAGTAACAGACACTGCCAGAGCTCACTGCGCCCTCAGGACCTGGAGCCAAGCTGTATCCCCGCAGCAGCCGTCCCCACTCGGGGAGCTTTTGTTACCAAGGATTTTTCTAGTTACCTCATGACTTGGTAGGAAGCAATTTTGAAACACTCAATATTGAATGGAGAATTTCAACACTTCA